TATCAGTTCAAAATCATAGGAATATTATAAGAAACTTTCTTTCTGGATAATAAACGAACACCAACAGAATGTGTTTCTGTATTTTTACAGCATGTTCCGATTCAAGTCTGTATTATGAACCAGGCACTGGCCATACATGTCAGACGTACATTGATTATGGCTTTTGTGATGGATCTAAAGTAGTGGCCTCTTCCGGAATCAATGCAGCTCTAGCTCAGCAGAGTTGCTGCTCGTGCGGTAAAAACCTTTGAACAAACGAATTAGTAATCATTTTCTAAACTTCTGCTATTTTTGCAGGCAAAGGAAAAACATAGACAACTGGATAATACATGTGCACTTATTATTCTATCGTACTGCTGATATCTTCATCATTTTTTCAAAAGAACTTGCTTTCAGTGAACAATTTTCTCGACATCGTATATTATTAGAATACTGAAATTTGCAGTTTACTTTGTTGAACATATTTAAAAATTGGACTCGATTCAAACATACTTACTGAAGACTATCTTTGGAGTTTCCGTTGTGACATATAACTTGATCATCAGATTTATTGGTTTTTGAACATCAGGCGAACTAGCAACAGATTCCAGTATTTCCGTTAATACTCATTCACGAACTCTTATTGCCATTCTACTTCATAGAGCTGGAAGCAGAACTTGGTTTTCTCTCATACGGAATTATTTTGATAGATAGTACCGAGCTAAAAACTTGTGGTTTGATCACAAATACCAGAATTTCAACCACTTTTTGGCGGCATTCTTCAAGCATATCTGATCATAAAAGGCATATCGATTGTTTTAAAATTATGTGACATGTTGTAATGGTTTGACCATTGATCCACATTGCTTTCAGATTTGTCATCTCGCATAAAGAGAGGATTTCTGTTTACACACCAGTGATGTATGTAGACTTCGGTGTTGCAGCATAAAAATAGCAACAAACTACGATACACTGCTTTTCTATTATCCATTTCTAAACGGAACAAGTAGAACTACTTATTAAATAATTCCCCAACCGAAATAGCTATCGGTTTGTGGTTTTCACGATTAGAATGATGTGAGCATCCTGCGTCTTTCTATATAAAGGTTAATAAAGCTATTCCCTAGATTTAATAAGCAGTCAATGAAATCCAAGGAAATACTTGAAGGACTTGGAAAAAAGTATTGAATTGCAATGATAAGGAGAAGATTAGTTTTCTCCACTCACAATCGATAACTCTATATAAACCGAAAATTTTTCATTTGCTTTGTTAAAAAGCTATATGTTGAACATTGATTGTAAAAACTACGTACAGCAATCTTTCGCCAAAATCTTTTCGATTTTCAATAAGTCCACGTGTATCCATTATTTAACAGTTCGTTTTTCGACAACTCTAAATAGAGCGTAACTGTTTATACTCTAAAGAAATCATTCCTTTTCATTGGAAACAAGTACTAATCAGCTTGCATCACAAAATCAAGCATCCTAATTGCATGCATTGTAGATACAACATACTCCTACTTATTGAATATCGTGTTAATATGTTTAATTGGAAATGCGGCTTTCTTTTAAATTAATAGATGATAAACACAACAACAAAGGAGAAATAAATTTTGTTTATCGCTCATTCATTTCTTCAATGCGTCTCCTCAAAATTTTATAAATCATCGAGGTAAGTCGTAATTTTGGTTGCTTTCAAGTATGACATATGTTTTCATGTTGTTTGTCGCGCATCGCTAAGGTAAAAATTGACAGCGTTACCTCATACATATTGCTTCATGTCTACCTATATCAATTCCATCGCTTTGAGCAGTTTTTTTCATTTATTAACTTCAAATACTCATTTGAAGAACAAAGACAAACATGAACTGTAACAACTTACCGTAAAATATTAATACTATATTGCTTTGCTGTGTCAGTAATTTCATGGTGTTGTTCAGGTAGATTTTTCAAAGTCAACTTAAGTGCTTTGGCTTTGGCAGATTTTTTTATGAACACTGATGTAATGAACATAAAGCCACACTATAACAGATTCTTTGCACTACGAACTTTTGCTAGCTTGATACCAGTTGTGAGTCGATTCTGCCACGCAGCATTATCAATCACCAGAATGATTTATGCATATTTTTTTTAAGCTCGAACATCACAATAGAAATGAGCAGATATAGTTATCACCGAGATGTTTTCGAAGAAAGGAAGCAGTACAACGAATCGATGTCAAAAAATGCACTCAGTTCATACAACGACCTAAATTGTATTTAAATTTATTAATAGATGATGCATGAAAGCCTTAATCACCTATTTGCGCAGAAATAAGAAGTCGTTACTATGTGAAGAAAAGAAACCACGATCTCTTTTACGACAAGAGAAATTTTACCTTTGCCCGTTTTTCGTTCAAAACAGTCGTCACCTGTATTTCTATGAGTCTACACAATATCTCTTCTACTTCCTCACTAAGCTACGGATTACCTTTCAAGAAAATTGTTGTTTTGTTGTTTCTAAGCCACATATGGCAAACTTGACACTACTGACGAAGAGCTGCTAAGCGCATCCGATACAGGTATCTTTCGATATGAAATTCAAGCGACAACTCAGCGACTGCTGGCAGATCTTACGAGAGTTGTGTGCAAAAGATGCAACCTTTTATAGAGTTTTTACAATCAAAATAAGCTTTGATAAAACTTATTATTTCTGCATGTACGGTAAAGACATAGTGCATGATGTTCGACGCTGGACCCCAAAAGGTTTTATTGATGGCATCAGAAGAATTGGTTGCCCACTGAACTACACATTACTACGTTAGTTAAGACTGATGTTTGGTATTGATCATGGTACGCCTTAGTTCTGACAAACAGATGTAGGGAAAAAAGTGATCTTAACAAATACAGGAAATTGCTACGCAGAATTTAGAAAGACATGAAAGGCATCATGATTCATACTAGATGATCAGGGCATGACCATGGGTGGAAATCAGTTGTTGCTGAGTGTCACTGTGGCTTTGACGTCGGTGTTGGAGTGGAGATGGGTTTTTGTAGGTTTAGGTGTGATTGAATGCGCTTGCTTGTATGTTGGCATGGATGCAGCCGTTTGTGTGAATATCAACATACGAGCGAAGATGGAAACCTTACAGGTACACTGGCAACTTCCAGAACATCAACATTGACACATGGTATGCACACGCAGATTCTTATCCACAATCATACACCCACACTTACGCGAAGAATCTGAAAATATCAAAATCATACTCTGCTTACACACTCGTGGAACCAGTTTCAATTATCTCGAACCAAAACTGAAAATAAAAAATTTGGAAACATAATCTGGAACCAAATTGGACAATGTCCAACGGTCTCTATTTTGACTGCAATCCACGAGCGAGTACTGTGAATCCTTTCGACTCGTCTCAGAATAGCGATTGGTATGTTGCCACTACAGTACTTTGTCAGACTATGATATTAGAATGGTTGCACATTCATTTGTAATGACGATGTTAAGTTTGAGATTAATATTAATAGCACGATCTTTCCTCAGATTACGTATACATGTATGTTTTTCTGTTATAGCATATTCTAAGCACTTCTTTCCTTGCCCGATCCACAAGCACAATGAACTTTTAGTCATTTTGAATTCTCTTCCTGAGCAGTGAATTAATTAATGTCGTATAGAATAATTTATACTTGTACTTGAAATAGTGTGACGTTTTGTTGTAGTGTATAACTTCTTCAAACATTAATTATATAACGATATACATTTTCGAACACGCACACATATACATACAGTTGCTGCAAAAGTTATTCGTACAATTTTGTCTTTGATCAAGGATTATCAAAATAAGAACTTTTAAAGATTTGGTAGATATCAAAAGAACAAGCATGTCTTGTATTATTTACACTATCAAAATCAGAATTTCTCACTGAGCCTATGTAAGATGATAGGTCAATCTCGGAAAATTATGCATATTTATACGCAAAAATGGTTCCTACGAAAGATGAACTTGACTTTTTCTGTTTGGAAAAATATCAAAAAATTTTACATTAATAAAAAAACAACTTTGAAATGTCAAAGTTCCTGGTTCTTATGAATTTTTTCCATATTTCGATGAAAAAACATATTCGAATATTCAGCTCCTACGATGAATACTCTTCAAAATACAATTCATAGCTGTTTCTTTGACTAATTCTACTTGCCAAATAGAAATATTTTTTCAAAGACATTTTATCATGAAAATATAGATCACTCTTTGTTCTATTTAATGACGTTATTATGGACGTTTTTCAAAGTTTCCCAAACAGAAAAGGTGAAGCTTGCTTATCGTAGGAATCATATTTGGGTACAAAGCATACATGATTTTCACCGATTGGTCTATCGTTTTACATAAGCTCAGTCAACAATGCTCGCTTCAATGATGTAAGTACCAGAAGATGTGCTGGTTCTTTTGATATCAACCAAGTTTTAAACTGCCCAAATTTTGATAATTTTTGCTAAAAAACAATCGTGCTAACAATTTTGGCGACAACTGTATATACACATTAATAAAAAAAAGCAAAACACAAGAGTAAAACATAAACTAGCCCATTCTATTTTATTTAATACTGATAAGGAAACAAGACGGTAACAGTAACATTCTGGATTGATGACTCATTTCTGCATCACTATTAAATAAACTAATATGGGTTAGTCTGTGTTTTACTCTTATTTTTGATTGCTTACTAAATGTATATGAGCCAGTTCAGATAAGCCACGACCTACGATCATAAGAGGTTGCTCAATCATAGTCTTTGATTTGCGTCGTATCTATTCCATCTTATAGGATATATTCTTTTCAGGTAAAGAGGCTGTGGGTGTGGGTACATTAGTGGATGTCGTAAATCTACGTGAACACCCATCCACACCCACACCCAAATGTATTAAGAATTTGGATGTAGACGTTTTAGAAGACACTGATGACAATTAGAGCGTCAAACTGAACAGTAAAATTTTGAACAGCATTTCAGTATTTTGATATTTTCATGGTTTCTCTCTTAACGTGTAGAACTTGATGTTATTAAAGATCTTTTTACCATGGCTTCCACAAAGTATTGATGCAGCCGCGATCGATGATTTATGCGGTGATAGTACTCCATGTCACTTTTATCGTAGAGACTTATGGTTAAATCTCTTCCACTCCAGTTCTCACCTGTAAGTGCAACAACTTCTTGCGAAGTAGTTGTTGAAGTCAGTGATAGTGTTGCAACTGAAAAGCCGATTTCTAGAAACACTTCATGTTTTAACATTAAGTTCGTCAGTATAAGCCAATCGGCAACAAGACGCTTTGGAAGATAGAATATATCGGAAAAGGATGATGATAATTTTTTGCCAGCATGTTTCATATAGTTTTTCACATATTTAGAATATGAACTATCATTTTGACTTAAACTCACGAGATCTAACATAAACGAATCAAATGCTCTCTTTCCGTTGCGATCGGGCCAACGCCATCCAATGGCCTTCAATGGTTCTGTAAGTCCAATTTTTGGCAGCCACATGTAAGTAAGATTCCGTCTCTCAAGATTGTGAAATATAGGTAATAAATCGAAATGAGACATAAGGTAACCGGCAAAATACGGATATTTGCTGATAACACGCGAAAGACATCCATATGCATAGAATCCTCGACGTCCTTCTGGGCACTGAAGTACTTGTGGATGCTGTCCTGAGCCTGTAAAGACAACAAGAGGGAAAAGATCTCGATAAATTGTCAGAAAAGGGATATTTTCATAGAAGTTTTGATTAAAATGTATCACAAGAGCAATGTTATTTCTCACCCAATAACTCACAAACTTTTGCGTAATATTAACACGAATCGTCGACGTAACCAAATCTCGATTGAACGAATCAACTGTGCTAATCGATACAATCACCTCTTTTTGTTTCGAAAGTGGAAAAACCATTCTTTTGACGTGACATGAAAGCACTGTATCGCAGCAGAATTCGACAGGAAAGCAAATTTCTGAGTCGATTAACACTTTTGTTGAGTTACTATTTGTGGGTGAACAAAGGTGTCTTCCACGAATCGTAATTGGGCGATTAAACTGATACTCATCAAGACTGACAATAATTGGTTTACTTGGTGCAGATGTTCGAAGCAGCTCATCGATAAATAATGCTTTGAAGAGATCTGTCTTTTGAAACCAAAAATGTAACACTGCAAATAATACAAATACGATGGATAATACTGTTAAAAATTGTATCTTTTGTAAACGAAACGATTGACATTTATTCATGAGTTGCCTGATTCGACTCCGAATATAAATAGTGTTAACAGTTGATATTACTTCTCAAATCGTTGAAAAAGACGGCTTCTCTATTGCAGCAGGAAAAAATCACAAGAAAGAATTTTAATAAAATTCGAATTCATAAATTCGAAAGCGTATCTCTGTCGAAGTAGAAAAAAATGGAAGATATAATTTTTATATATGTCGAATTTATAAATTCGAAGATACCGCTGCATCTTAAATAGTACAGCCGTTGCCTAAGATGCTAGATGCATCATCTCAGATGCTACAAGGATCATATGGGATGGTACAGATATCCCCTAAGATGCTGTAGGCATCAAATAAGATGGTAAAGGTATCATCTGATACGCTACAGTTGCCGTTTGTTTGTGATACTTTAGGTATCATTGCCCTAGATCCCTTCGAAGCATCAACTAGGCGCCTGTGTGAGGATGAAAAATAATGTTAACCTACTGCCAACACCTTGGGTTTCATTAACCCTGATACGAAAAATAGTAGTGCTAGTTGACTGCAACACGTATAGTACTCAACATTTCAAAACTTCATTTCTCCCTTAAACTGACGTTTCATGTCAGTGCCGCGGTGTGGGGGTGCGAAGCGCCCCCGGAGAGTCACGACTCATGCTCGGCTCTGTGTACACAGTGATGAACGAAGTGGAAGTTGAAATCATAAGTATAACTTATATATCATTTTTCTTTTGCTTTTTTCACTTCGGCAGAATGTGCCTTCGAATGCTTGGTACGCATAATGCAAAATTCGAGTATTTTTTTTTTCTAGCTCATTTATATATTCTTTCATAGAGCATGAAAAGCTGGTCACGAATGCATTGTTTCTATGTCTAATAAATCACCGTATCGCTGAAAAAAGCGTGAAAAATTATCATGACTAAAAATGTAGTGTTGGCAAATATATATTCACATTTTTACAGAACATGCTAAAGTTCAACTAAATCCCCGTATAATAGAAGACTCTCATAAGGATATGATGTGCTAGACGTAATAGAAGACCCACTAGTATTAATTAATAATTATTAATTATTAAGTCAAATAATAATTTTTTTCAGTTAAAACTGTCTAGTTTCCAGGGTTTTTCAGTAAATGAAGATCTAAAACTCTGGATAGCCCTGGAAAATCCCGACAACACGCTGGAGGAGCCTCAAAACCCAGGAAGATTTTTCGGAAAATTTTTTAATCCAAACATATAGACAAATGCGTATCATCATAGAAGACCCCTCGGGAAAGTTCATACGCTACAACATAATAGAAGACCCGAAGTCTTTTATTGAGGGAGGGTTTAGATTATTTTCTGAAACTTAGTGAAAACATTTTATTCTGATTCAGCATCAGAAACTGAATAGAAAAATGTTATTCGTTTAGATTTCGAGTTAATAAGGTCAAAGAATCCTGTTGAATAAAGATAACTCAAAGAAGCCTTATAGCATGTATTTATGAGTATTTTGTAAATCTATCTAGTTTTTTCTTAAAAGAGACTGAAAAAAATGTTATCTCATTGGGATCTCCAGACTGTCGGTTACAAAAGCGCCCATTTTAATGTTTTAAATTTTGTTGTATTGGTGAGAGAATTGAATTTTTTCCTCTTCGGTGGCAAAATCAGATCAAAAAAAAGGGAAAGATGCGCTCAGATTTAGCCATTTTTATTACTACCTCTTTGTTGTAAATCAAAATAATTAACATATTTACAACCAACGTCGTAAACTGCATCAAATCATATATTTTCCAAATTTTTTCCCTACGAAAAACCGACCCCTGTGAGAGTACGGGCAAAATCTAAGAAAGATAGGCTTGGGGGTGCAGAGATGTGCATCGCGCCTAAAAAATGAGGCGGGGGCGGCGCGGAAGGCGATGTAAACCTTAATGCAGTGGCGGAGGCGGCCACCGCCCACAAACCTCTTTGAGGAGCGGCGGGGACGCTTCACGCCGCCAGGCGGCCGCCTTATGATACCTGGAGAATTTTTTTCTCAGTCTTTTTGCAACTTTATTGCACTAGCATTTCTTTATAAATAATGCTTCATTTCATGACAATTACCGATGAACAAAACTACACAAGTAACAGAACCTTAAAAATATACTCAATTTAACAAAATTTAATTAGATATAGATACTGATATGTCACTGGTTTCTGTATTAATTTGTTCTACAGTTAAATTATGGTAAATTCAAGTTCATGATTAGTTTACATCTTATGGTTCTTTCGATAAAATCCATCAAAGTTGAGATACCAATCAGCTAAGTATTGTCATGGCTGTGATTTATTTGAAGGCACAATCTAGAAATTCAATTATACAGACATAGAAGTTGTCAATTTTTAAAAGCATTATCATACTTTTAATTCTTCTACATTCATTTTTAATGCAGATTGAATATGATCTTTTACTTTCATAACTTGGTGAGGTGCTTTTTTATCAATTTGTCTAATTTTTCAAATAACAATTGGTTGTTCATTGATGTTGGCGGACTACTGTCATTCACACATGACGATTCAATAATTGACTAATTATTACCATCATCCGACATTAAAGATTTTCAGAAATCAATATAATAAATAATTGAATATTATATAAGATCATATGAATCTAGAAAATCACAAGGATCAATACTTTCACTCACTTGTTAATATAGACAGAAAATCTGATGAATATTATAAAAAAAAGAAAGAAAGAGTGAATTAATTAATACTAGAAGGGACTTTTATAGGTATAAAATATCAACAAATACATCTATACATCTGTAAAAAAGGTAGAAACACAAAGAAAAGAATAAATGCCAGTGTGACAATGTAGACGAACAAAACTTCACCCCAATAGAACGATATAGTATTTCAGAGAAATAGACAATCGCAACGAACAATATATCGGCACGGCCAGCCATCGGTCCCCTTCGTTGGGGAAGGTTCGAAATCAGTAAGATTCAGAAAAAAAAATTTCTTATAGAGAGTTTGATCTTGAAATATTATTAAGTTTGTTCCGTATTCCGAGTTACACAGCTGACACATAAAACCAATATCATTTTTCTTTCCTACGAGTTTAAAAACACGAATAATTACGAAATTTCACTGTTTTTTCACTTTTTAACCTTTCATTTTTGTCAAAATAATGAATGGAATTTTCAATGAAATTTTCAAAAGAAGATGAAAATGAACTAATCGATTTAT